AGTAGGTTTATAAAGTTAGATTACGATTACTTCATAAAATATGCTTTTGCTGTTATCCAGAATTCACGTTTAATGTATTGTCCATTTCTTCAAAAAATATGTATACTTTTTGAGATATTTTAACTTTTTAAATTATAAATGATTGTAATAATGAACCCCAATTATTATTATTATTTTTTGTTCATTTTAAGTTGTAGTGAACCATGTCATGACCACTATTCCGTGTTTGTAATTAACAATTTCGACTTTTTGAGACCAATTTACCTTAGATTCCGAAAGACAGGATATGAATCGACTAATCTTAAATTATTTTTTAACATGAAAATATAATAAATGCCACGGTCTAAAGATAGCAGGATAATTGCGCGTTTTATGAATTATTTATTATTATACATATATACATTTATAATTGGCCCGTATTTTTTTTTTTTTTTTCGATAAATACAAGATATCTAATTTCGTTCCCAGACAGTGTATTCACGCTAAATGTCTATAATTAGCTAATAATTGCAGCTATTTTTTATATTTCTGAATACTTAACGATTTTTTTTTATATTATTATCAGACAACGGTTTCTGCCAACAAATGGCACTCTTACCTTACATTAACACCAAATCGTTCCTTATAAACCAGTTTAATTTTGCAAAACAATATCTGTTTTATTCTGTATTTAAATTTTTTTTTACATATATATAACCCTACCAACTCATCCATCAATGAAATAAATATGCTAGTTGTATCGTGTTTACAGATGTTTTGGAATTTTTTGCTCCTTATTATTTAACTTTAAATATGACAACTCAACTCTCCTGGAATGATTTTCTTTAATTTTTTGCTTATCCTGTTATTAATATTTACGTCTTATTTGTCTCCCCAATTATTATAGAGTAAAATAGATTGTTCTATGCACTTGTGAATCGTTTTTTTTTTATCTCCTGAAAAATGTTGATTTTCCACTTACAAGGCCATGCCTTGTGGCACTCGACATATTGTTTGACTGTGCTACTACATATTCTGAACATTAATTTTCTTGGTATATTCACAATATGTGTTGTGCTATATTTCTTTGATAGTCTTTGGAACAGTTCTTAAGAAAATCGATGATACACAGTCATTAAAATGTGAAACCACTAATCTGAAAATGGAAGGTAGAATACCACAGGAGTTATATTTGTTGTAATGGAAAATACACCCACAAAGGTTTCCAAACTGCGCCCACACCTAGCCGATACCCATAAATCTATTTGAAAATTTTAATGACTAGACTGATGTAGACAAATGATCCGTTTAAATTTTTCGTAATAACCTACATGATAGTTCTAGACCGTAACGATTTGTCGATTTGGACAAAATCAGAAAGCGTTTCTCGGACCGAAATCGACGAAATTTGTTTAATCATTAACTGTTTAAATAAAAAGTATAATGACACCAAGGGGTCTATTCTGTAACAATTCCTTTATATTTAACGGCCTTTAAAAATATTTTCTTTTGTACTTCGGTCATTATTTAAAGGGATCTTTAAAATACATTAGAGGACTATCTTAAAGAAATCTGTTTAAATAATGACAGAAGTAAATTAACGAATACGAACATATTTTTAAAGGCCGCCAATATTTTCAAAGCCCGTTAAATATAAAGGAATTTTTACAGAATAGGCCCCCAAGTCGGGTAAACGCGTGGTATGAATGCTATAGGTATATTAGTCGTAAAAACAGTTTGTCCAAATTAAATACGTAAAAGGAGTTCCTCAAGGTACCGTACTTGGGCCGGTCATTCCTAATTTATATAGATCAATTTTGGTGCAAAAATTAGGAAAAAGTTCAAAATCTAAATAGTTTTGATCCAAATATATTATAAAGAAAAATATTTTGGAGCATCACTATCCAATTATACAGTGTGTGCCATCCATTTGGATCACCTCTGCTTATTTAAAAAAGTAAAATAGTCCATATCAAAGTTGGCTACTAACATTATTTTTTGTCAAATTGGCAATTAAAATTGAACAATTTTTCAAAAAAAATACTGAATTTTACAAATACTAATGCAGTACCTAACCAACTTTAATATGGATTATTTTAAGTTTTTTTTTTAATGCAGAGGTGAATGTTCTACGACCTTTTTCCAACCGTAATATTAAAACATATTCCCATATGGATCCAACTTTATGCATTACTTCAAGAGCAACAACAATTTATCTTACCAGCAGGAACGCGTATAGATATATAGAGCTCTCTCTATTCATGTTATGATAGTGGTTGGTGTACACTACTATACACAAACCACTTCATACTAATATTATGAATAAAAATAATGTTCCGATTTGTTCCCTTAAAAACATTCCATGAAAATGACTATAGCTAATTATAATTAATAACCACTAAAGCTTATAAAATTGTATGTATTTCGTACTAGCCATTTTCAACAAGCCTGGTCCTGATCTATGTTTATTTATTTATTTATTTATTTATTTATTTATTTATTTATTTATTTATTTATTTATTTATTTATTTATTTATTTATTTATTTATTTATTTATTTATTTATTTATTTATTTATTTATTTATTTATTTATTTATTTATTTATTTATTTATTTATTTATTTATTTATTTATTTATTTATTTATTTATTTATTTATTTATTTATTTATTTATTTATTTATTTATTTATTTATTTATTTATTTATTTATTTATTTATTTATTTATTTATTTATTTATTTATTTATTTATTTATTTATTTATTTATTTATTTATTTATTTATTTATTTATTTATTTATTTATTTATTTATTTATTTATTTATTTATTTATTTATTTATTTATTTATTTATTTATTTATTTATTTATTTATTTATTTATTTATTTATTTATTTATTTATTTATTTATTTATTTATTTATTTATTTATTTATTTATTTATTTATTTATTTATTTATTTATTTATTTATTTATTTATTTATTTATTTATTTATTTATTTATTTATTTATTTATTTATTTATTTATTTATTTATTTATTTATTTATTTATTTATTTATTTATTTATTTATTTATTTATTTATTTATTTATTTATTTATTTATTTATTTATTTATTTATTTATTTATTTATTTATTTATTTATTTATTTATTTATTTATTTATTTATTTATTTATTTATTTATTTATTTATTTATTTATTTATTTATTTATTTATTTATTTATTTATTTATTTATTTATTTATTTATTTATTTATTTATTTATTTATTTATTTATTTATTTATTTATTTATTTATTTATTTATTTATTTATTTATTTATTTATTTATTTATTTATTTATTTATTTATTTATTTATTTATTTATTTATTTATTTATTTATTTATTTATTTATTTATTTATTTATTTATTTATTTATTTATTTATTTATTTATTTATTTATTTATTTATTTATTTATTTATTTATTTATTTATTTATTTATTTATTTATTTATTTATTTATTTATTTATTTATTTATTTATTTATTTATTTATTTATTTATTTATTTATTTATTTATTTATTTATTTATTTATTTATTTATTTATTTATTTATTTATTTATTTATTTATTTATTTATTTATTTATTTATTTATTTATTTATTTATTTATTTATTTATTTATTTATTTATTTATTTATTTATTTATTTATTTATTTATTTATTTATTTATTTATTTATTTATTTATTTATTTATTTATTTATTTATTTATTTATTTATTTATTTATTTATTTATTTATTTATTTATTTATTTATTTATTTATTTATTTATTTATTTATTTATTTATTTATTTATTTATTTATTTATTTATTTATTTATTTATTTATTTATTTATTTATTTATTTATTTATTTATTTATTTATTTATTTATTTATTTATTTATTTATTTATTTATTTATTTATTTATTTATTTATTTATTTATTTATTTATTTATTTATTTATTTATTTATTTATTTATTTATTTATTTATTTATTTATTTATTTATTTATTTATTTATTTATTTATTTATTTATTTATTTATTTATTTATTTATTTATTTATTTATTTATTTATTTATTTATTTATTTATTTATTTATTTATTTATTTATTTATTTATTTATTTATTTATTTATTTATTTATTTATTTATTTATTTATTTATTTATTTATTTATTTATTTATTTATTTATTTATTTATTTATTTATTTATTTATTTATTTATTTATTTATTTATTTATTTATTTATTTTATTTATATCTATATAATCGTTAATGAAGCGTTTTTTTTCCTTCCATTGTTGTAATGTCTAGTTTAATATTTTCCTTAGTAGACATTTCTCAGACTAATGGTTTATATTTTATACTATATCAATTATTGAGTTTCTAGCTTAAAACTCTTTGTAGTTGAAAAATTACCATTTATTTATCTGATTCAACACTTCTTTTTGAAATTTTCATTTCATCGTTATTTTGTCCATTTACCCGTTTAAAAGTTCATGTTAGGGCGCTATATGTCCGGAACAGGAACATCAAATTAAAGCTTCAAATGTATTTTACAAACGTTTACTTCCAAAATAGAGAATCTTTATGCATTGACATAAAATCACTAAAAAATAAAAGCACCACACACATCCAAACATCCATAATTTGATTATTTAAGACCTACAGCATACAATGTTTACGCTCATTCAACTTGTCATTTGCATCTCATAAGCATTGATATTTTTTTAATTACTTACCTATAACGAAAAATAAATAAATGTGCGATTATAAAATCATATCAATTATTTTCAATGTCAGTTCTAGTAAATCGATTTGAACAGACACTTTGTTTTCTCAAGTGTTTTTCAAATTTGTAATAAGCTTATTGTTCCAACGATGCGAGCTAATTAAAGTTGTTGATAAATTGATTTATTCAATATTAAAAGTGAAAATAACTCCAAGACTCTCTAATTTATTATAACTACAATTTTTTAATTTCCATGTACTAAGTTTAAAATTATTATTACAGACCATTTTTCATCAACAGGCAAAGAAGCCGGCATGCCACCCTTCGGTCGTACAGAAAATGATCATCCGGACGAAAGACTGGTTCATATTTTTAACGATGCCAATTTTCATCAACATATAAAGCAACAACAGCATCAGCAACCCGAAGATAGCCACAGTAACGACGACTCGAAATCGCCACAAGGTTGCGGTAGCCCGTTCTCCAGAGATTCTTCGCTAAATAAGAGACTCAAAAAGTATGAAAATGACGATATCTCCCAAGAGAAAGTCGTCCGTATTTATCAGGAAGAGCTAGCCAAATTGATGAGTAGGAGAATGGAAGATTTTAGAGGAGGACCAAGAGAAGGGCCGTTTCCCGGGTAAGTTACGCACATTTAATTTTATTCCTACAATTCCGTCGACGCTTATGTATTTAATTATTCTTGAAAATTTAGAACAGTACTAAACTAATATTCAGTTTTTTCCTTCCTCAAATTTACAGCGGAAATTCATTAGAAAGGACTCCCGAAGACCTTCGGATGGTGCTAGACGCCTACCACAGAGAATTCGCTAAGCTTAACCAGGGACAAAACCCATCCCAGATGCCGCTTAGTCTTCTAGCCATCCAACAGCAAGCACTAGCCCACCACCATCAACAGCAGCAGCATCAAACATCCAACGGGGGAGTCCAAGACCTCTCTATTCCTAAAGACAAAATAAAAATGGTCAACGGGGTAATGGACGAGAAAGAAAAAGATGATGATCATTTGTCGCGGCATTCCGGATCAGCTTTTAGCTTAGTTAGGCCAAAGATTGAGCCTAACGCTGGATCGACAACTTCAAGTCCTCTGGGGAACTCTATTCTACCTCCTATGACTCCTACTGATGACTTTGCTGGATCAGCTGCAGCATCGCCCTTACAAAGGATGGCAAGCATCACAAACTCCCTTATATCACAACCTCCAACCCAACCTCATAACACCTCAAACAATCGACCTCTTAAAGCAGTATTACCTCCTATTACTCAGCAACAGTTCGACTTGTATAACAATTTAAATACTGAGGATATTGTTAAGAAAGTCAAGGAACAACTAAGTCAGTATTCTATCAGCCAAAGACTATTCGGAGAAAGCGTTTTGGGCCTGTCCCAAGGCTCTGTTAGTGATTTATTGGCCAGGCCTAAACCTTGGCACATGCTGACGCAGAAAGGCCGAGAACCTTTCATTAGAATGAAGATGTTTCTAGAAGACGACAATGCCGTCCATAAATTGGTAGCCAGCCAGTACAAAATTGCACCGGAGAAGCTTATGCGCACTGGAGGATATGGAGGAGGTGAGTATCATTAACTATCTTAACCAGAATCAGTATTTTATTTTAAGCAGTCAGTCCTACGTAATCTTAGCAATAAATTTTGTTCTTCCGCCAGCTTGTACGTCCATAGGCAAACCTATGCCTCCTACAAATAAGATGCTCTCCGAAGCAGCGGGTCTTCTTAACAAAATGCAAGAATCCCAAAACATTCTACCACCAAGTCTTCAATTGGGTCCTCCACCGAGTTCCAACCCCCAACCTCCACCACCACCGATGCTTCTTACGCCTCCAGGTCTACCTCCACATCACACTATTAACCTCCAAAACCAAGATCTCATGAAGAAAGCCAATCATAGCCCGCATGGAATTCCGCATACACCAATGAACCAGCAGCACACATCACTAAGAAACATGCATCAACATATTTCGCCTAGCGTCTACGAGATGGCAGCTCTTACACAAGACTTAGATACTCAGGTCATTACAACAAAGATCAAAGAAGCCCTTCTTGCTAATAATATTGGTCAAAAGGTACTTAGTCCATAACTAAAAATATTTATTCATAGCTCTGTAAAACATCAGGATATTTATTGCCTAATTATTTTTTCAGATATTTGGAGAAGCCGTTTTAGGCCTATCTCAAGGGTCCGTTAGTGAACTGCTTTCCAAACCAAAACCTTGGCATATGCTTAGTATCAAAGGTCGGGAGCCTTTTATAAGAATGCAACTATGGTTGAATGATGCCCACAACGTTGACCGATTGCAAGCCTTAAAAAACGAAAGGAGAGAAGCCAATAAAAGACGAAGATCATCAGGTGCTGGTGCACATGATAACAGTAGTGATACATCTTCAAATGATACCTCAGAGTTCTACCATTCGAATTCCCCAGGTCCTGGACCACCGTCCGCCAAAAAACAAAGAGTACTCTTTAGTGAAGAACAAAAGGAAGCTTTAAGGCTAGCCTTCCATTTGGACCCATATCCCAACGTAAATACCATTGAATTTTTAGCTACAGAATTGGGACTGTCTTCCCGAACTATAACGAATTGGTTCCACAACCACAGGATGCGATTAAAGCAGCAAGTCCCACATGGGTTACCTTCTGAACTACCACCCAGGGATCAAAGCGGGAATCAGCAATCATTTGATCCAGTGCAATTTAGAGTACTCTTAAACCAAAGATTAATGGAGTTGTCCAAGGAACGGATGGGTCTTAGCGGTGTTCCTTTACCGTATCCACCATATCTAGCGACCAACGCCAACCTAGCTGCTCTAATTAGCCGTGGACTCTTACCTACAGGTGATATGGATTTATCAGCTCTTAACAACGCTGTTAAAGAACAGATGAGCGGGTTGGATCTAACAATGACTTCTTTAAAGCGAGAACCTGGCGATTATGACGACGATGACGATGTGGAGAGCAACGTGGGTTCGGAAGACTCGAATATGTCCGGAGGAAGTCTACATGGAGAAGTCAAAGTCGAACCCAAAGAAATACCTCCTAACCTAGGTCGATCTTCGCGGCGAAAGCCAGCAGCGCCGCAGTGGGTCAATCCCAACTGGGAGGATGAAAAGGAGAAGCAGAACCCTGGAGACGAGGTGATAATAAATGGCGTTTGTGTAATGCAGGCTGCAGACGATTATGCAAGAAGAAATTCCGAAGAGACGGTGAGGGTTGAACCTCAGGCGGTGATGGACAGATTTGAGGATGACCAAAGTGACGCTTCTTCGATAAGTAACGAACAAAACGATAAATCCGAAGATAAGTGCGAAGAAGAACCTGAGGTGAACACTGAAAGTGAGAACAAAGCAGAAGATAGTGAAAATAAAAATCTAAAGCAAGAAAACGAAGAAGAACGATGGGAGTATTAATTCTAAGACGTTCTAGTATTGTTTTTTAAGTTGTTGTTAGTGTTAAAGTATGGACGACCTTATAGACTTCGATAGAAAAGGGTCGTAAGAATTATTTTGTAAGGTATACAAGTGCAATCACGAAAAACGAAAAATTTATCCCCAAGTTTATTATAAATATTTATTAAAATGTGATTAATTGTTGAAATCACTGGAAGGTGTGCGTCCAGTGTTTGCAGCAGTTTTTTTTTTGTTGAAATATAAGCATTTTGTATTTCAAATTCTTGCCAATTCTTAACTATTTTTACTTATTGGCATTATTTCTTTTCATATTTTTTTTTTATTTCGATTTGTATTTATGTAGTTATTATAAGACTGTTACCGTTATTATTATATATAGTTAGCTTTCGGGCTAAAAAAAGCAAAGAAAATGTTTTGAACATTTTGTGATATACACTTTTACAATTTTTATTTTTTATTATAAATATCGAAGTTATTATTGTGCTTTCCAATTTAATTTTTTAAGAGTACCCAATGGCCAAATATGCAATGTTCTAAGCAATTTTCGTAAATTTTAATTCAATGAAGATTTCAATAAGTGCGAATAAAACTGAATTTTAAATAAAAAAAAAGACATAAAAAATTTCATTGAAAATGACAATAAATCGAAGAAAATAAAAACTTTATCTGCATTGTTGCCATGTTACCATGTTTCTATTTTTTTTTTAAGTTGCGAAATTTGTTAATGAAACTCAAATTCCCTAATACCACGTATTATATTTTTTACAGTTTGTATTTTCTGAAATAGTAAATTTAATTATTACACCAACCTTATTGTAATTTCATTCTGTATTTGGAATAGTTAAGTAATTGAATTTTGACAACGGTGTTTCTCTTTTCATATGAGAGCTTACTATATTCTTATACAATTACATATTCAGAAAAAGTTTATTTTCCAAAAAGCTTAAATGGCAATAATATACATATAAGATTCGAATTTTCCGTACTCATATATATATATATATATATATATATATATATATATATATATATATATATATATATATATATATATATATATATATATATATAAGAGAGTTGATAGTCGTTGCTGACTAGTTAATAATTAAACCAGTAATTAGTGGGTAATGCAGCAAATGAAAGAGTACTTTTTTAAGTTTATTCCAAGCTTTCGGAAATGTTTATTTCCATCATCAGGGAGACTAAAATAAAATAATACCACATATTATGATAAAGTAAGGTAAAAAAATTTTTTTGTCATCACTTACATCTTAATTAAGGTTGTTCATTTTGGTGGTATTATTCAGTTTAGTAAAAATACAAAGTAAAATGGACAAGCTGAAGTCAATTACAAAATAATATTATACACAAACAATAACTACGATACTTTAAAAAATAAAAAATATAAATAACGAAAGGTCAATTTGACAATTTGACATGACAAGTAAAATTTTAAATAACAAGTTACTAGAGGTTAGGAAATAAATGTGGATAATGGTATGTTTACATATCATTAATATTTTTTAAATGTTCAAAGAGTGATTTTTATATTAAATTAGCTCTGTATTATTTAAATTATGAATTTGGTTTGGTTTATTGTCCAAATCCAATAAATAAGAATAAATTACACTTAAATTGTTAATATCTATCTTTTTGTTTATAGAATTTGGTTCCTGTGAAATGAAAGCCATCTCCAAGAAAAGTCTTTTATGGTAGTTATTTTCAATGGCTAATATTTTAATTTCGTCATAATTTATATTATGTTGATATTTATTAGCATGTTCAGCCAAAGCACAACGTTCTGGATGTAGTCTGCAATCACTCCTGTGGGAGGAGATTCTACCTGAGATAGGTCTTTGTGTTTGACCAATATAGACTTTATTACATTCTAGACAAGGAATGTTGTATACTACATCTGATAATGATTTTAAGGGAGTTTTTATCTTTGAGTTTAGAATAGATTGAGCCTATTGTTAGAACTGCCTTATTGGCTATCTTAATGTTATTATTAATATTTATAATTCTTGATAGTTTAGGTGTGATCTCCTTAATGCAAGGTAAAGAGGTAAAGTGTATGTTGTTTTCTTGTGAAAGAACTAAATTCATGTTATTGGGAGATATTAACAATTTAAGTGTAATTTATTCTTATTTATTGGATTTGGACAATAAACCAAACCAAATTCATAATTTAAGTAATACAGAGGTAATTTAATATAAAAATCACTCTTTGAAAATTTAAAAAATATTAATGATATGTAAACATAGCATTATCCACATTTACTTCCTAACCTCTAAAAACTTGTTATTTAAAATTTTACTTGTCAAGTCAAATTGACCTTTCGTTATTTATATTTTTTATTTTTTAAAGTATCGTAGTTATTGTTTGTGTATAATATTATTTTGTAATTGACTTCAGCTTGTCCATTTTACTTTGTATTTTTACTAAACTGAATAATACCACCAAAATGAACAACCTTAATTAAGATGTAAGTGATGACAAAAAAATTTTTTTACCTTACTTTATCATAATATGTGGTATTATTTTATTTTAGTCTCCCTGATGATGGAAATAAACATTTCCGAAAGCTTGGAATAAACTTAAAAAAGTACTCTTTCATTTGCTGCATTACCCACTAATTACTGGTTTAATTATATATATAACGAGAATTTTGTAATGATTGAGGTTTAGTACAATTGGTAAAAGTTTATGTTTGAAATGGGGAGTTTTAAATATTGGGATTTCACTGAAAAATTTAAATTTTTGTAAATACACTTTACCTTACCTACTAATGAGTAAATATCGTACTAAGTTGTAATTTGTGATATTGAAATTTTCAACAAAAAAAATATTTAGAAGTAATTTTCGTACCCTATATAATTTCCAGCATTCTTCCAAAGTTTTTTGTGTATATAGGAGAAACATTTGGTGTAAAATTTTTTAATTCCGAATTAAACACGTAATTTTTAATTTCGAAATTTTTTCATCTTATTTGCGTCTAGTCTTTTAACAAAGGGCATAAGCATCAAAAACCACTTGACAAATGGGCCAGTACTGATTTAATTTTTTTCTTTATACCACCATAGTTCAATATAAAAAAGCCTTCTTAAC